GATAGCATCATCATTAGATTCTGAGGCTCCTGATAGCATTCTTGTTCGTTTCGTCGATGCTCCGACCATCAGCTCGACCGAACAGGCCGTGAATGTGGTTCAGCCAGATTCCTGGATGACTCCCATTGTCCAATACCTCAAAGATGGGATCTTGCCGGGCGACAAGGTCGAGGCAAGGGTCCTGCGAGTAAGGTCTGCTCGTTTCACACTCATCGGGGATCAGCTGTACAGGAGAGGATTCAGTGCACCTCTCCTCCGATGTGTAACCGGTGAAGAAGCAGACTACATCATGAGGGAAATTCATGAAGGGATCTACGGTAACCACACAGCAGCTCGATCTCTTGCGAACAAGGTTGTTCGCCAGGGATATTATTGGCCCCGAATCCAAGAAGATGCGCATAACTTTGTCAAGAAGTGCGACAAATGCCAGCGGTTCGTGAACATTCCGCGAGCTCCATCTCACGAACTGATTACTATATCTAGGCCCTGGCCCTTTTCCATGTGGGGGATCGACCTTATCGGCCTTATGCCAGTTGGAAAGGGAGGGGTCAAGTATGCCGTGGTCGCGGTAGACTATTTCACAAAATGGGTCGAACCCGAGCCACTAGCCGCGATCACGACCAGGAAGCTGAAAGACTTCGTTTTCAAGAACATAGTGTGCCGCTACGGAATTTCTCACACCCTCATTTCAAATAATGGAAAGCAGTTCGATAATGAGGAGTTCAAGCAGTTCTGCGACGAGCTGGGCATCCATAAAAAATTTGCCTCAGTCGCCAGACCGCAAGCGAATGGCCAAGTTGAAGCAGTCAACAAGACCATCAAGCACACTTTGAAGGCCAAGCTCGGGGCAGCCAAAGGAAATTGGGCTGACGATCTCCCCGAAGTCTTATGGGCGTACAGAACAACTCCAAGGACCTCCACCTCGGAAACCCCATTTTCGCTAGCCTATGGCTGCGAAGCGATGATCCCTGTAGAGGTCGGAACTGGTTCTCTTCGGAGGGACTTGTACAATGAGGATGAAAACGAAGCACTAATGAGAGCAAGTTTGGATCTGGTCGAAGAGCATCGCAGCAAGGCTTCGCTAAGGATAGCAGCCTACCAGCAGCGAGCAAAAAGGTTCTTCGACTCAAAGGTCAGGCGAAGAGACTTCCAGGTCGGAGACCTTGTGCTAAAGGAAGTTCTCCTCGGGACCAGAGAGCCAAGTGCGGGGGTACTAGGGCCTAACTGGGAAGGTCCATACCGGGTCGACAAAATAATCAGACCGGGGACCTACCATCTCAAAAGATTGAACGGCTCCAAAGTACCCTGAGCTTGGAATGCCGAACACCTCCGGCCATACTATCAGTAATCCCGAACTCAGCTCTCCGTTTTTGTTAATTTCTTTTCAAGTATTACTTTGTTCGCTCAAAACAGTTCGCATATGTTCTGTTCGCATGTAAGAATTTATATGTAATCGCATGTGAATTGATTGTAAATTGTACATATTTATGAAAAAGTGAACTGCAATTGTAAAGAAAATATGTCTTCATTTATGTACAAAAAGTCAAGACCCGATTACAATAAGGACAATTCATTACACTAAGGCTGGTCGGGGGGATCCTTCGAGCCGGAAGCACCTGCCTAGTCGGGTCCCTGAGCGGCCGCGGCGGTCTGGTCGTCCTCCTCGGCCATAATCCGCAAGGTCGCCTGCCAACCCTCCGGGAGGTCGGACAAGTCCAAATCTGGGTTCCTTGCTCGCAGGGTGTAGATGGACCCGATTGCCCAGTCCGCAGCCTTCTCCTCCATCTCCTTTGACTGATTCTGCATTTCTTCAGTCAGAGAAGCGATTCTCTCCCGACTCTCCTGGAGCTCGGCCTCGAGAGCTAGCATTTCTTGTTCGGAGGCCACCCTATCTTCTTCAGCTCGCTGAGCCCGTGCGAAGGTCGTCTGGAGCTCCTGGTCCTTTTCTCCGACCTCCTTAGAGAGCCTGGCAGTTGTCCTTTGAAGTTCCTTGACTTCCTCCGCATGTCGATCGGGCTCCGTCTTCTGGAAGTCCACTGTTCGTAAAGCAGTGTCCTTTTGGCTCAGATACCTGTTCGCCGCTTCGAACGCTTGAGTTCTTTCCGCTTCAACGGACTCTAAGCTCTGCTTCAGCTTTGCGACCTCTTCCTGCAGGTCGCTTGTCCCCTTGGCGGCCCCCAGTCTCGTCTTTTCCATGGACATCCTCATCGCGAGCAACGCCTGCGAGCAAGATATGAGTCAGAAATAAACCAGAATGAAATTTCAAGTACAGCTCGTTTACCTTGCTCAGATGCTGGAACGACGTGGTCATCAGGTCATCGCCCGTGTCGGCAAACTCATCGTACGACTCCGATAGCTCACAGTCGAGCAGGCCATAGACTATTGGCTGCAGGTATTCGGGCAGACTCCCCAATGAGTCTAGAACTGGGGCGTCCTTCGCCTTGCCAGCAGCGACCGCCTCGCCCACGGGCTCCTTGCCCGACCTCCTGGGTTCCTGGAGCGACCTCAGAGGCTGTTCCTCAGATTCAATCTCCGACTCTTCGGGCTGAATCTGCTTCCTCTTCTTCGACCTCTGGGCCGGACCCTTCCGCTTTGGGCGAGCAGTTGGCGCCTGAGCGGCCTGTTCCGTCCTGGTCGCTTCTTGCACAAGACGGGGCTGGGAAGCCGGCACTGTTCGCACCGGCTGTGCCGGGATTGGACGAGCAGCTTCGGCCGCCCTCTCTCTCCTCGATCTGGGGAAGACTAATGGTGCTCGGCGGGGCTGTCCAGACTCTTTTGGAGGCATCGTCCCTGCATTTAAGTTTGTTAGTAAACGAAATCATTCTACGACCAGAAGGGAACCAGTATAATTTACCTTCTGGGGGTTCTAAAGACGCCTTGTCACTGAAAAACTCGTACTTCCGCAAGTTCGTGGTCGTCACAAGCTTCCTCGCGTCCCGGCTCTCCTCGTCCAGTACTCCAAAGGATACGAGCCTGTTTGGGTCGGCGAGTAAGTTTTGGCTGGTCGTTCTGTTAACTGCAAAAGAAAACAGGTCGTTACTACTGATCATGCGAGCAGATAATGAACCCAGCGAAAGGAAACCTACTTGGATCCTGAAAACGGCAGTAGCCGTCGTAAAAGAAAAAGAACTTTGTCTCATAAGCCCCCGCATTGCTGGGATAGCTGTGTATCCCCGCGGCAATGGTAGGTCGCCGAGACAAATAGTACGAGTCCTTATCCCTGCTCTTTTTGAGGTAATAGGCGATGCCGAGCTCCACTGCCGTTGGCTCGCCCAAGCCGCTTTCGCAGCACGCAATGTACATCGCGACAGCGATGACGTACGCGTTTTGCGTCAGCTGCATCGGTGCGATCCCAAAATGATCCAGGACCGACCTGATGAAAGGATGGAAGGGAATCCTCCCTCCACCCTTGAAGATCTCTTCAGAGATCGCGGCAAGGCCATCAGCCGGGCGCCGTGACGGCCTAGTGTGGTCGAGGAACACCTCCGCGCGGATGTCAAATTGCCTCTTTATTCTATTATATTCTTCGGTGGTGAGAACCAAGTAGACATCGAGGGTTGCGTCCTCGGGAGCTCCCCGCGAGGACGAGCTGGCTCCTTCCTCGGGTCTGGATGTTGACGATTCCATTCCAGTCTGCAACACCGACAGACACGGTCATTTAGGCCTTCGTGTTTGTCCCGTGCGGTGGCAGGGGACAAATTCTTAAACCCTAACAGTAACTCGAGCCGCCGTACACGGCTCGAATCCAATGACGGCATCACGTCCCTGGTGAAACACCGGGAGACCCAACGCCATCGCCCAACCAAGCAAATACAAAGAAAAAGAGGAAGAAGATAATCTTACCTTCTACGATGAGTAACCGAGACCGAAGCTCGTTTCAGTTGCCTGAGAAGTGCCGATCGGAAAAGAATGGTTTCTGGTTTGCAAAGGGCTGTCACTCGAAACAAAAGAAATTTCGGTGACCTCATCTGAAAAATGCGAGTTTTTATATGGATTGCAAATCGACGGTTACCATCTCTCGGAACTGAAACGACAGCCCACTCTCTCTCCCCGCATTAAATGCGCCCCACGTCGCATTAAATGCCGTGATAATAGTCGTCGTTTCGAATGCGCTGCGCAACTAATGCTGTCAAAACGGCGTCGGGTCAGCACACGATGCATTTAATGTGTCTGACAAACGCTTCAACGCGTGCAGAGCGCCTGACAGCGCAGAACCAGGTTCATTGAATTTCTAAGGCACAGAAAGGAGTGCCCATCAAATCCAGGTCGCTAGAATGAAGATTGTCAGGTCGCTTAGGCAAGGAATTGCGCAAGATCGTGTTCGCCAAGAGTCCTGTGCCGAGCTCATCCCATTCAGGTCGAAGCGACCAAAACCTCCCATACGACTTAGTTTCCAAAGTTCGATCCTCAAACCTTAAAAACTAAGGGGCTTCTGTTATGCCTGGGAAACTAAAGGACTGACGTGGGAGAGTCACGTGAAGGGTGACCTGCTCCCGTCAGAGCAACACGCACATGTCAGGCCTGCCAAATGATATGGAGCTCACACGCGTCCATTTCCCTGCAATAAATCGTGCGAAGTCAGCTTGGGAAAAGAGCAATGGGACATAAAGCCGGATTATATCCTGACAATCACACCAAACCATGGATTTAATGATGATTACACGCTTCAGTTTGATATAAAATGAAGAAGACCCCTTCATTAAAGGGATTCGGCCATTTTCATACTGAGAAAAACTCTCTCTCTCTCCTGTAAACATATTTACTTTTTCCAACTCTTTTGTAAGTCAGTCCGCAATTGCGACCTGACCCACACTAATATCAATACAAATCAGTGGACGTAGGACTTGCTACCTTAGCATCCGAACCACTTAAAAAACTCCCTTTGCATTTATTTCGCTTTATATATTCCATTTTCACGTGTATTTAACAGCCAATCAACGTTACGCACGTGACAATTCGTTGGTGCCAAAAACGAGCATCAACAGAAGGGAAGAGAGGGAAAAAAAAAAGAAGTTTAAGACAGATAATACCTTCCTAGATGCATAGATGCAATAGGTCCTCCATATCCAAACATGCCAAAAAAAGGTTGTATTGTCACCAAAAGAAACAAAGAATCTTGTAAACAAAAAGAGTGACAGCTTCTTACAAAGAATATAAATAATATCAAAGTTAATATTGGAAACTGGGACAGACTGTGAAGGAAAGACCGTATATTTATCTGCAATAAAAAAAGCAATACTACTAAATATATATAAAGGCAAGATACAAAAATACTCACAAGATTGCACTTTACCTTTAAGTATGGAGGTTTGCCTCCTACATCATGTTCTTTGGAAGTCCTGTTAAGTGAAGCACCCATCTTCCCCCTAAACATATGAACCATTAATCCAAGACTGAGGCAGCCAAAAGAAGATGATAATTAGGAAAAAAAAAAACCTCCTGTAAATCAGAGCTGTGTTAAAAATGTGCACGGTGGGGAAAGAACAATTATATCTAACATTAAATGTAACTATTATTTGTAAATTACATAAATATAAAACACAACATGCAAGAAAATCGATGAATGCTTATGCAGTCTACCCTAGTCAAATATTCTTACAAATTCATAAATGAAACCAGTAGCCTGTATTGAGCAACTATTCTTTCTTTCAGTCTTTCCTTCTCCTTTCTCCTGAAATTTTGGTTTTGGGTGGAGAGATAGACAGGAAGTTGTTCCTCTACCTGGCTGTAAGCCTATTTTCCTATTTCCAAACAAACTAATTTTTTCTTCTTATCATATATAAAAAGTAAACCTCTTGGAAATTTTTTCATTCCTACTTCTTCAAGGAACTACATCAATATTCAACGAAATTGTAAAATAAATAAGCCAAAGCTGAAAATGTGGCAGTCACAAATTTTCCTTTCCCTTATTGTCAGAAAATGAAGCTTAAGCCCCATTCCAACCTCTGAAATATCCAACAAGCACACACAGGCACTAAAAAAAGAAGGGAAGTTTGTAAGTATATATTGAAATCTATAACATACCACTTAGCTATAGAGTTTTCTTCACTACTATCCATTCCTTGGCCGGTGTCAAAAATTGATATCTTATCCTCCGCAATATGCACACTGCAAAGATATTAAAATGATCATCCCATACCAAGCATTAAAATGTGAAAGGACATTTAAGCCAGGCTATAGCAACTTATGACAATTGAGTGAGCTGAATATATGTACCAAAGCAACCATATATATCAACCCAATTGAAAAACGAATAAAGAACTAATTATAAGCAGATATACAGGTGCTCAATTTCATGACTCCTACACCTCAACTCAAGGAGACCTTCATCACAGAGTAAAACTCTAGGGCAACCACTGAACCCATTGATATATGCAATTTTAACACCAATAAAGTATGCTTAAAACTGTTTCTACTATGGAGAGCAATTGGGGCTTTAAGCAAATTTTTAAGATATGAGATCATTTACTAATACTTTTGAAAATAAATGTTTCATATAAAATTTAAATGAAAAAAGTTAAGAAAAAACATAATGTAAACACAATAAGAGGATAGAATACTATAGCATGATAAAATTGTATGACAATATCAACTTTGTCCCATTGGTTGAAACTGAGGACATCACTTAGACTGAAACAATATGATATCAAGTTCCGTCCTTTCTTGGTGGAATAAGCGGAAAGCACATTTAATCTAGGGAGAGATATATGGAACTGACAGAATTAATATCTTGATGAGAATGATCACACAACTGATCAAAGTTATTTAGGTTATTTGTAAATAAAAATAATGAAAACCAAACAATGGAAAAAAAAAAAAAGTTGTTTTGCTTAGGTTAGTAAAAGTAATAGAGAAGTTAAAAAACAGAGTGATGACTTTTTTTCTTTCTCTCATTTGTATTGTTCTTTTCATAAGAACTTTTATGTTATGATACATGATAATTTTTTTTCTAAAAACTAGTTTATATATATTTATCTATTTTGAGGTCAAACCTTACCATCCCTATTTACAGTGAAGTAAACAATAAACAAAAGTATTCTGAAAAATAATGGAGTTCATCAATTCGCATATAAACAAATTAATTTGCAAGTCCATTGGGTCAGTTTGATGATAACAGATTTGATATTCACGTTGTAAAGAATTGGAAAAATAGAAATATGCAGTAAATAGCATGAAAATCAAGCATCTACAAAACAAACAAATAAAAGTAAATATAGTAGGCAGCAAAGCAAAAATATTGTCATCATACAAATGTCATACCTAATTAATCTCCTATCATTTTCACGACTGGTCCATACGGCTTGCAACGAATTATCCTGGTACATAAGCAATACAGAGAATAAGCGACTACATAAACCAAAAAGCCAAAACTTCTTCAATTCTTTCAATTGCATCCAACAACATACAATCAAATCTGCAAGAGCAGTTTCAAAAGTGTATTCTTCTGGCAGCTCCTTTAATATATGAGTATCTGGCGTCAAATCCCACATGCCCTATAAACAAACCAGTCCATCACAAAATTGAATACAATTTCTTTGTTAAACACAGAAAAGATGAACAAAGAACCACAATGAATGTTCAAAATCAACAATAAAGCAAAAATGTGCAGAAAGTCAGAAATATTAAGAATTACTAACCTCAAAAGTGTTGGAAATCTCACTGGACCCATCCTAATGAAGAAATAAACAAATTAAAGCATCACTGAATTCTGGCATGAAAACTCTTATAATCAAACAGCATAAACACTTAGACTAGGAATAGTCACATCTAGCCGTAAAACATGGTACCTATTTGGCTTGAACTTTAAATTTATATTTCCTCCCTACAATACCATCATCATCCTCCAATGCTCTTTTTTTCACCCTCTGGGATGCACTTGGTCGTTCCATAGTTAAAAAAAAATTGCAAGCTCTGAAACAAAAATAAACTCTTTCACAGCTCTATCTCTATGTTTGTTCAATACACAAAACAAACCCTAAAGCACATAGACCCACAGGCATACACAAATACATACAAGCCTTTCAGAAAGGAAGAGGCTATTTGTGACCAAAAATTTATCTCAACACCCATCGTTTAAGTGGACCCACTATTAAAATCTTAAAACCTAAAACTGTTAATACACACATTAATGCTTAACTGAATAGAAAATATAATGGAAACTTAAAATATTCTTAATAGGTGATGAAAGAAATTATTTCTAAAACTTCGATAATGTAAGTACTCAGCAAAATAAGTGCATAGAGTGGTTTCTTTTTCAGTGAATATAGACCCAGGAAACCCTTTCTTTCTCACTCAAAAGAAATATAAATATATATTATATGATCTTAAGCAGAAAGACTTGACATTTACGCAAGTCAGTAAACAAAATCCACTATAAATGAAATTTTTTTTTTTTTTTCCGTTTTTCATTCAAAATAAAATAAAAATTATCAAATGAGCAAGTAACTTATTGGTTAAGTAAAGTCGTAGAGACTATCCAAAATCGACGAACACAAAAGACATCCAATATATAAAAAGACTATCCAAAATCGACGAACACAAAAAACATCTAATCTATGAAAAAGAAAAAACAACAACAAAACGATTAAATGAACACGAAACCATTTTTCTTGCACTAAAAAGAAAATACAGTTTCTATTTTACCTGTGTTAGGATGAAAAAGAGCCTCTGATTGAATGGAAGGGTTAAGAAAAGAAGGAAATAGAGAGAGAGAAAGAGAGGAGAGAAATTTATAGTAAGTCAAAGAAGTAGAAGCAGAAGTAGAAGCAAAGCGCATTATAACGATTCAGTTTCTGGCGATGGAAATATGAGATGTATGCAGCGTGCCCTTTTTGTCAAGTAGGAAGGTTTGCTAACATATACCTATAGTGCAGTGTACCCTATTGTTGCTGATGTGCGCTACCTGTGCGCATTGTATGGTAATTGTCCGTTGTTGTTATCTGTTTATTTAAATTTTCAAGGCCGAATGACATTGTCAAAAAACCTCAAACTGCAGTTTGCCAGTTAAAATACAATCTTTACCCTTTATTATTCATCATAAGAAAACAAATTTTAAACTAATCCAAAAAATAGGAATCTAATATTAATCCAGTTAAAATACCATCTTTACCCTTTATTATGCATCATAAGAAAACAAATTTTAAACTAATCCAAAAAATAGGAATCTAATATTAATTCATTAGTCACAATTAATCCCCCGTCAATCCAAATGTGTCAAATTAATTCAAACTTTATCTCATATTAATCCCAAATTAATTCAAACTTTATCTCAGATTAAATTCAAACTATATCTCAAGTAAATCATTTTGTTTTAGTTGTTGTAATTATGAAGTTTAAAGCAGATACTTGTTGCGATTTGTTAGGGTTTTGTAAATTTTTTTATTTTTGAGTTGTAGGGTTTATATATGTGTTAGTAAAATGACAAGAATATCCTTCTTTCCTTAAAAGTTAACATCTTAATTTAAAAAATGGGGTGATGTTGGGTGTTTAATGTCTTTCCATGATAGTTTGGGGTTCAAAATGTGATTCCGTTTATGAGTAATAGGACTCTTGTGCGCGGGAGGACCACTAGCTTATATGTTTAATAAAAAATTTACTATTTCTCCAATTAATTAAATATTATAAAAAAATTAAATCTAAATAATGAATCAGCCTACTCCCTAATGGACCTAAATGTCATTATAAAATTTTACTGGATATTTTTGGACATACATCAGGGACCAAAATAGATTTAAAATAGTCATATCAGATGTCTTCTTATTTTATCCGTGGTGGTGATGTGATTAATAGCTTTTACAGGCAGTTTCACTAACATGCGCCTCATGTCATTGTCATTTTAATAACCGTATTTCAGAAGATCTGCCGCCCGGTGTAAAGTAAGATTCACTTAGAAATAAAAAACCTAAAAACTTGAAGCGCAAAGGCAATTTGCACTCTAGCTCCACGTCAGGTATTGTTACCGTGGCAGTGAATGATAATGAGCTCCAGTCGTTTCAAATTTGAAAATGATTCAAATGTTCAAATGTTGTAAATTACATGATTTATTAAAATTATAATTTAAAAATTATTTAATAATAATTGATATATTTCAATCTACTCGTTTAGGAGAATTTAATTAAAAATAATTACTATATACATATAGAGGATGGTACTATCACTTCTATTTTTTAATACAAATTTAAACATAAATTTATGTTGTTAAATTAAACTAAACGATCAAGATAAAGAGTGAGGTGAAAATAATATTTTCTAATATTATTGATATTAAGTTATACAAATATATTATTTCCCCTCGTTAATGGTAAAAATGTTAAAAAAAAGTATATATATCTCCCCATTAATTAAAAATGTAAGTACATTATAGATGATTATAAATGTAAAAGATCTATTCAGTTCACTCAAAAACTTTTTTATTTAATATAATATAAAATAATATCGATAACATATTACACTTATGATCAACCTCTAAACTAAGGTTAATCAATGGTCAGGACTGTATTAAATTTGCGGTTTCATTTCATGATAGTCATCTTTAAAACTTGCATTAGGTTAGCAATTTTTCCTCTCTTCCCATCGCACTTCTCTCTCCTCTCCTAAATTAAATTGTCATTTAACACCAAGATTAGATAAGAAATGAAAAATAATTTCAAAATTAATAAATTATGATCTTATGAATTTCTATTAAAAAAAAAATTATATTACTATACAGTAAACAATTTTTTGGTTAAATAAATATTGATCTTTTAAATATATTTTATTTTCATTTTGATATAAAATACATTACTTTTAATATATAATCCCAACAATTAATTAAATTACTTTTTTATATATATAATGCAAATCACAACTACAAATTGACCTTTAAGTAGTATGTCGTAATTAAACCTGTAATTTTTTTGCTATTTCCATTTATAATTTTGGTAAGTGTATATATATATATATATCAAAGGAAAAAAGAACATTTGATTCTTGTATGATTTCTAATCTTTTCTTTTTGAAGAAAATGTTTATATCTTTCACGTTTTAAGAATGACTAATACATTGAAGAATGACTCAAGAAGTCATGAGTTCAATCCATCTGACTTTCTAATAGGGATAGTAATTGAGAGGATTTACTCGGCTGTTAACTTCAGAGTCCGGGAGATTAGTTGATATACGNCAGATCTAGCCATAGATTTGGCATTTTTCGGCAAGATCCATGGAAAAAGGCTAGATCGACGCACGATCGGTCAGATCCAACCTGCTCTGCATCGTAACGCCAGATTCTGACCAGATTTCAGCGATGGTGGCCGGAATCTAGCACTGTAGGTGGGTGGGGGTATTTTTGTCATTTTATAAAAAATTTATATATTGGGGTGTTTAGTTAAATTAGCAAACCTAGGGGATTTTTTTGTTAATTTTTAAAACCTTACCTCGTAATAATCACCCTAATCAACTATCCAATACTATCTCCAAAATTCTATCCAAAATAACAAACAAAACGGACCCAATGCTATCTTCACATGTTACAAATTAAGATACGAAATATTTTAGGAAAAAAACCTTTATAAAATGATTTTTTTTTTCTTTTTTTGGTATATGGACCAAAAATTTAGATATCTAAACTGATTTACTTTGTTTAATCGTTTATTGAAGATACGATTGAGTGGAGATAAGATGAGTGTTGGATTGAATGGAGGATTATTTTGGTAAAAGAAGGGAGATGTGAGGTAGTCTAGTCATTATGCATATTCCATGGTTAATATGACCATTAATTTAGAAATTTATTATTTTTTTATTAAGATCCCCAAATTTGATCCATTATTAATAATTTCTTCTTCTTCCTTTATTTTTTTTTTTTTTTTTTCAAATTCTAAGATTAATTGGAATAGAAATATAATTTCTAAATTTTTTAACTAAATAGTTTGGCAACATTATTACCATAGATGAGATTGTCACTTGATGATAAGTTGCTATAACTAACTATCTCTGGGTAATCGAATGGTTTGATAGGGACTCTTAGATGTATTACTCAAGAGGTCTTAAGTTTACGTCTCTCTTCGGGTGTTAATAGGGGTATCTATTAGAGCCCGATCAGTAGTTCCAAGGCTCAAGAAATTAGTTGAGATGTACATAAATTGGTCTGGACACCTTTGGTCATAAAAAAAAAAAAAAAAAAAAAAAAAGGTCGCTATAACTAACACTGAAAACAATACAATAGACATTGGTGCAAAAATACGAAGAAAGATTTAATCGTCTTACTTACCCAAAAAAAAAAAAAAAAAGATTCAATAGTCTTTTATTTTGTTTTGTTAAACAATGGATTTACTGAAAAAAGTATATAAATTTCAAATTATAATGAAAAACTCAGAATGCAATAAGTTTCTATTGGAATATAATAATTGTTAAGGTAAAAATGTAATTTAGCATTTTTTGTTTGAAAATTATTTAAAGTTTTGAAAGCATTTGTAATTCAAAAACTGTAGAAATTGGACTGCTTTCTCTTTAAATAATGGGCTGAGATGTTTGGGATTTCATCGGTTTGTGCCTCAGCCCACCCAAGCCCAATATTTTTCCCACCCCCAAATGGGTTAATAATTTATTGAGAACTTATATACGTGTTAATGACATTTATCTCCTTCAAGTATGATAAAATAACAAAAATTCTTTTAAAGTTTTGTAATTAAAATAAATCATTTGTTAGATTTTAAGTGTTAAAATAAACGGTAAGAGGACAATTTGGTATATAAATTTTAACAATTTATTAACAGTCAAGAGATTTTTGTTATTTTAAAAACCTCAAAGGAATTTTGTTAATATATCACACCTTAAAAGATCTATGTGTTTAACTCCTTATCAAATCATGGGTTGCATGATGACTTTGAAATCATACTTTTTAGGAAGATTCAAAGACATAACATATTATGAACACCATGTATTTATTAAGAGGTTTGAATTACTTTGTATATCAAAATTTTGGGAGAGCTATCTTAATTCATAGTTAGTTACACTTAGTTAAGCTGAAAAAATACAACGTGTAAATGTGGCTTAGCGTGTTAAATTTGTCTGCAATCTAGGGATAACATTTAATGCTATGTAGAATAGGTGTGTTAAAAGGCGCAATGAATAATGTGTTTAGATTGTATATAATCAATGCTTGAATTAATGAATTTAAGAATTTTTTGTGTGTATTATTTCCTTTGCATTCTCCAGCTTGTAATCCAACAATTAGTATCATAGCTTTTGATTGGCTGCTGTAACCAATGAAAATTTTAGCTTCGGCTTTTTCATCAAGCTTGCTTCTTTTGCTCGCTGGAACATGTGCATAACAGATGCTTCCGAAGACTTTGAGGCCCTCCACACTTGGTTTAACTCCATACCAAGCTTCTATAGGAGTCTGATCGTTCAGGGCCTTTGTTGGCATAGGAGTCTGATCGTTAAGGGCCTTTGTTGGCAATCCATGTAGCAAATGGACTCCTGCATTAATTGCTCCAGCCCAAAATATCTTGGGAAGCTTTTTTTCAACAATCATGCCTCTAGCCATCTCCATGATTGTTCTGTTTTTTCTTTCACTCGCTTCATTCTACTGTGGAGTGTAAGGACTGTTGAACTGGTGCTTGATTCCAGCTCCTCTGCATATCTCTTTAAATTTATTCGAAGTATTGATTGTATTATAATATTTAATTTCAATATCAAACACTATCACTATAAAGATATGGGAGTAAATTAAAGAAAAAAGTTTTATCTTCTGGCACACTCACATTTATCT